CCGTCATAATCACGTCACTAGCACGTCATAAATTGGTGATTTCGACGTAAAATGTGCCGTGTATTTCACGTGAAAATCACGTGTCGGTGCTAGCTGGGCAGAGGAATTTTAGAAACAGCTACCATATATTGGGGTATATTCTGTAACAATTCCTTTATATTTAACGGCCTTTAAAAATATTTTCTTCTTTACTTCTGTCATTATTTAAACGGATCTTTAAAATACATTAGAGGACTATCTTAAAGAAATCTGTTTAAATAATGACAGAAGTAAATTAACGAATACGGACATATTTTTATAGGCCGCCAATATTTTTAAAGGCCGTTAAATATAAAGGAATTGTTACAGAATAGACCCCATAATGTCTTTTCTCTTTTTCATTTATAATTTGTCAAAAAATCTTATGCTTATGATTAAACTTTCTGTATAAATGGTTTTGCTTTAAAATCCTTAAATTTGTATTTATGTTGAGCTTAAAACAAAATCAGGCTGACTATAAATGTACTTTTAGTTTGATACTTTCGTAGTTTAATACTGATATAAAAATAATAAAATTGGAGAATACAGTATAACCAACTGGATATCAACAATCAAAATTTTTTAGTAAATTCAATGAAAAATGTAGCGATAATTACCTACTACTTATAAAATATGTATTCTTAATTAATTAAGGTACTTACCTAAGAAAACATTTTTAATCTTCTTTATAACCATTACAATATCAACCAAAAGTGGCTACTACAACTAGTTCCAATAATAAGACAAATCCCTACACATCAAGAATCAAAAACGTTGAAGTAGAACACTAACAAAATATTGTTTTTACGTAATACTTATTTTGTCAAGTTTACAGTGGACAGTAGACAGTACATTAATTTCCCATAACATTTCTGATTTAATATCAGTACCTACAATTTAAGTATTAATACTATATTGTTAGTCTTATTTTAAAATCATTTTATTATGACAAGAATATTCTTCTGTAAAAGTTTATAATTTGTTGTAATATTAGATATGTAAAATTTACAGCTGTTTGTGTAAAATTAACAAAGTATAATTTAGTTGAAGATAAAAATATACTATAAATGTTATAATTTTTTTATTCTAACTATAAAATTGTTGTCAATGGGTGACAGAAATTTTATATATCAATTAAAGAAAATTACATTTGTTAATATTCTATGTGCAGGACAAAATTATTATGATTAATTTAATAATGTGGGCTTTATTATATCATTCCAACAACTTACTACCAATGAAAAATTAACTCTTATATTAACGGGTTTTAACAATGTTTATAATATTTATGTTAAATGAATAAAAAGTATTCTTTAAAACCTTAACAAAACTATGTTGTGAATGTAGTATATTTAATTCTTTGAATGAACAAAAAGTTCTTGCATTTTTTTTTAAATGAATGTAATTTTTTTAGATGATTTGGAAAAGGGGAGAAGAAAATTAAAACAGGCAGAAAAAGAGTGCGAGCAAAAAAAAATTTGTAGTAGCAGCGAGGATGAGAGTAATAAAGAAAGTGCATTGGAAAGGCCTCCAAAAATTTTAAAGAAAAATATATTAAAGAAATGTAACGGTAATAAAATTTTATGTTTTACATACCTTTAGTAATTACTGCAATCACATACATTTTGAATTTTTAAATGTTATTTTCAAGGCAAAATTTTTCAGGGTAAACAAAATTATCGCTGTCATGTCTTGTGTGATTTTTAAATAGAAATTATTTTGTTTTTAACCATTTTGCTCAGGATAGTGCTTGGCACAGGTGCCGTTTGATAAAATATACAATGTTCTTAAATTCCATTACCAAATGACAGCCGAAATTTGCATCCCATTTTTTTCAGAAATCATGTTTAGTTTTAATGATTTTTTATAAAAATTTATAATAAAAGCTGTTATTATTTATTAGTAATATTATTTCCTATAATCCCTACAGAGCCACCGTATTAGTAACGTCACAGTAACGTCACAAATTGACGTCACATCAACTCTACAAATTGACGTTACAGTAACGTCACCAATTGACGTCACTGTAACGGCATAAATTAACGTCAGAATAACGTCACAAATTGACGTCACAGTAACGGTACAAATTGACGTCACAGTAACGTCACAAATTGACGTTACAGTAACGTCACAAAATGACGTCACTGTGCCGTGACATAATGACGTGAGCTGGACGTCATTTTGACGTCAGACCTTTGGTGAAAAATGACGTAACTCATGACCAATAAATGACGTCTCTGTAACGTCAGTGTGCTGCCTGGGTTGTCTGATTTATATGATTCTTTTTTTGTTAGTAAGGGGATACCTCAGGGGTGGTCCCATATAAATTTGGTTAAGATGTGGTGATGGCATCTGCACGTTTTTGAAGTCGGTTTTTTTAAATTTTTAATTTCTAATACTTGTTTCTGAAACCATGTTTGAAATTCCCGCTCTAACGCATTTTTAATTTTCCCGCTATTTACTAGTGGCGCCATCATAGACTGGTTGTGGTTACAATCGCCCAAATAACTTTTACAGAACAAAAAAAATACATTGAGTTATACGTCTCGCTGGATTGTCTCTGACTGAATCAAAGATCGCTACATGGACTTGACGTGGCATTCTCCGAGAGGAATTTTAAAGTGGGGAGAGATGGCGCGTAGTTTTTGAGATTTGAATATGATCGATGTTATCTCGCGGTCGATATTCTCCCACGCTCCTCTACATATTATATGACATCAAACTTCACGAATTTATTCATAAATATAAAGACATATTTACCGTAAAGGAGTTCATGAATTAATTCGTAAGTTTGTTCATTAATAAATTCATAAAGAAATGGATAGATTTAAAGTACATTTAAGAAAGTACCAGTATTTAAGTGTAAACGCTTTTGATAAGGTTGCGAGAGTTTGATATTCATAAGTTACACGATGATAGAGCAGTAAGTATTTAAAGAACAGTATATTTCTGAGAAAAAGCTAGATTTTAACAAATTTGATTTTAAGATCTATTTCTGAAAGGATGATAACAAATAAGTATCATTCATATATCGCCATTAAAAACTGGGCTTCAAAATTTAAGAGAGAAATATAAGAAGTTAAAGAATAGCACCGCTATGGAGGACCAATACAATTTCTGTTACCACTCCGAAAAACATTGATTCTGTCAATGATATGATTCTAGCAAATCAACGAGTTGGATTCAAGCATTTCTTGATTCCTATAAACGTGTGTCTTTAACTGACTTCAAAAAGTGATAATTCTTTACCACATCGTACGATTTCTATGATTCTTTTTTGTTAGAAAGGGGGTGCCTCGGGGGTGGTCCCATATATATTTGGTCCAGATCTGGTGATGAGATCTATAAAAAAATCAGCAAACTCAATTTGTAATGGCATACGCACGATTCTGGAGTCGTTTTATTTAAGTACTTATTTATATAAACTTGTACATGTTCGTTGAATCAAGCGTATGCTTTCAGCCCAAACGATTCAGAGATGCCTGAATGCTGATCAGAAGTGCTTTCGGTTAAGAAAGTCTGCCAATTCCTTAAACTTTTTGGATAAGCTTGTTACTAAGCATTATGTTTTCTTCATTACCAAAAAAAAATGATATTGGCTTTGAATTGGTTGACCATCCGCCCTATTCTCCGGATATAACAAAATCCAACTTATTACAAATGTGCCGTTAAGTGGTTTTCAGACCACAACAAATTTTTTTTAGAGAGGTTACAATCCACCTTTCCCATTATTCGACATTTTCGCATTACTCATGTGCGAAAAAAGCGCGGGATTTTTGAAAATCTAGTAATTTTCAAAACACTTTTTGCTATAGGCATTTTCTAATATTCAACAAAATGTTTTGCTGTTGATAGATCAACAAGTGATCAGTAAATGGCCGACTGATGTAATCCTGATTTTTCAATGATGGAATTTCTTAAAAATTACTGACATTTTATTTTAAAAATTTTGAAATCCTTACAGAAAACAAACTAATAAATACAAAATCTGAGAGCACCTTGATTTTTATTTTAATTTAGAACCAATATCGAACCTGATTTTTCTATCTATCTATTAATAATTTAGGGTTATGTTGATTGAACCACCAGCTCATCAACACAAAGAGCAGATGGATTTGGTGACAACTATCTGAGAATTAGAATCCGATGTATAACTCATCTAAAAATTGTTGATGGATAAAAGAGTCTTAGAAATTATGCATTATCTTTCTCTTACCATCGCCTTACAACTATTGGGTTTTCTACGACGATTACCCTGTCATCTTTACTTTAAACAACTTTTATTAATTCAATATAATAGTGAGCCAGTGAAACTTTTTTAGTACCTATACATTGGCACAAGGCTAAATTATAAATATATCATTAATTCTTAACTTGTAGAAGATGGAAATGATTTGTTGTGAATAAATACCCTCTCAGCAAGAATGTGGACCGAATTTCAAGAAGGTCGCAGAAAACTTTTTTTTTACTAATTTTGGACGTAAATAATATCTGAAAATTACAAGTTTGGGCTTCTTCGACAGCATTGTCTACACAATTTTTTTAAACCGTCATCGTCAAGGGCTTCATTGCTACGCAGAAAACTATTTCCATGTTCTGCAAGGTAAAAATGAAAGAAATATTTGACCTTCTGCAAATAATACACTTAAAAATATCACTGGCTCCCCTACAAATACTATCAAACGCAAAAACGAAATGAATTTGCGGATGTGTAATTGGAATTCAGGTTAGGGAACATAACAACAATAAATTTTGATGATTTTAAACGGAAGTAGAATTTGCGCATAAGTAATAGAGATCATCAATAACGGGAAAGTTCTTCTATTGCTTTATGAGGGTTGTGCTAAATGTGTACCTGTCTTATAAAAGGGATTATATTGAATAAATAAAATTTTGTTTTGAAATATTGTGTATACTATCAAAATAAATAGTGAAATAGAGTATAAATATCTGTAAATTGATATAATACTTACTTTTTATTCTTAATTCGTCTTTTTGACATCTTTATTCTCGCCTTCTTTGAGCTGCCCCCTGCCGAATATTTTGGCCAATGTATCGAAGACCCCGCCAAAGAAAAGCGCGCACATGAGATTTTCGAATGGTACGAAGGGATCGTGTATTCCCAATATGATGGAAGACAATTTGAAGTAAACGAAGAATATTACAATGCCAAAGTAGACTAAAGCGTGTGGGGCTGAAATGAGTTCTGTCTTCTTGTCCAGGATGAAAATTACAGATGCCACCAAACAGGCTTTGGTATAGCTGAAAAAGAAGGTTTGTATAGAAAACAATCAGTAGTGCAACTCTTAAGTGCTACCATTGATCTGTACGAGTCACGGTTTTCCACATGGAGAATGGGGTTTGTCAGGCGACGCCATTTTGCTAGGATCATTTGCAAACTGGTATCGCTAGTTTTTGGTATAACGACAAATCATGATTTAAATAATTTTTATGTCTGTACAAAGTGTTCACAACATTTTATTATATTTTCTAATAAAACACGTTTAAAACTACAATATATTTGATCTCCAATCTATAATTGAGACCGAAATAAGTTCAAATTCAAGAAATATCAACGATCGGAAGTAGAAGGTATAGAAATCTCCGAACTTCAGTTTTACCACCGTTTTTCTCTGGAATGTTCAGTGCGTTCTGAGTGTATTCTGACTTTCCTCTTTTCCATATCGACAAACAAGGACACAAATATACTCAGAGGGTACCGTTTTTTATACTAGGAAAACTGCATTTATATCTATCGTTTGGAGAATGCGCCACCATCAATAAAGCGTGGCTACGGTTTTGGCTGCAGCCTAGTTTCTTTTCTGTATTGTTAATCTATTATGTGGTATTTCTATATAATGAGTGAACATACTGATATCGAATAGCGGAAAAAATACTTACAAGCTCGGTTGCATGAATTCCATGGCAGTAGGTGTCCAAACGCCTCTAATCAATCTTTCCATAAGCCTTGTAAATCCTGCGCCATTACCTTTAATGGTTCCTATGATGATCATGACCAAGTATGCATTGGGATACAATTTCGCAGCATGGCTAACACCGTCATACACCTTTTTACATCTATAAACTTCTTTCATAGCTGAAAAGATTATTTTGACGGGTAGAAACTTGGCCAGTTTGTAACCTAAGTCCAGTGGTGTGTAAAATACTACATACCTACAAAATAAATGTACAATTTAATTTTAAATAATTATTGCACATGTCATTCATGACAATTTTATTATTTTGCATTATATGATTTTTATTGTAGAGAGAGAAGAACGTTACAAATATTCATTACTCCTACGATGAAAATCTCGGAAAATCACGAAAAATCCCGGAAATATGTCTCGGTCACATTGACCAAGCCGGCCCTGTGTGGAAGTTAGTATTAAAATTGGAATGATTGGATATATTATCACGGTTTTCTCAGTTGGTAAGCGGTGATTAAAAAAGATAAAGAATTGTGTGTAGCTTACTTGAATAGTTTAAAAATAAATTAGATCTGGCTCAAGAATTAAATTTAGATTTAAATATTACTAATTGAAGTGGTAAATTTTAATAGAAAAGTAATCCCTATATTAATTGTGTTCACTGTACTGACCAAGTACCCCTTATTCAGCTTACTGAAGTAAAGAATCTTGACTCAGCTCTATCATTTCAAAACCATATTTGTCGGTTATAAGCAGGTAAGGTTAGGTTTGGCCCAGAACACGGCAGTCTCTTGGGCTTGGGTCTATTGTATTCCCCTGCTTTACCCGTATTCTGGTACTATCTTTGGAATAGTCCTGTGCCTTTGGTTAGTTTTAATAAGTTCCCTACTAAGTGTTCTTTCCGATTCTAGGCCGAAAAGGATGAGATGCAGCCTAGTAAGAGCCTTTTTATTCGAAGATCACATGGTATGAGGTTTTTTCTTCTACCATGCAGAGTCTACTCGTACTAGGATCATTGTGTGATCACATGAAGGTGTTTCAGCAAGCAGTGCCCCATTAGTAATCGCACAATGGTGTATATCTGAGGACTTGTAGTGCCTCGGTAGCCATGCGTGGGTTTGGTCCCCTTAGCATGAACTTACTGGTTCTATGACCTTTTATCAGTTGCCAGTGAATTTTATGTTCTGTGGATATCAACATGTTAACTGCCTGTCGAGCTTATCCCAAATACAGGGTCGGGTCCTATGAATGGTAGTTCTGATCCCTCTTTGGCGAGTTCATTAGCCTTTTCATTTCCTTGGATATCTTTGTGCCCTGGTACCCACGCTACTTTTATCTTATTGTAGGTTGCCCAGATCATTTAGTATTCCAAGGCAGTTCCAGACCAGCTTTGTTTAAATTAAGAGTCTTTAAGACTACTTGCCTATCTGAGAGAATTAATATGGTTTGTTTTTTGTACTTTCTTCTTAAATTCTTTGGTACACACAATTGAACTGCATGTATTTCAGCCTGAAATACAGTGGTATGTTTTCCCAGTGAGACAATCCATCCGTAATACCATACGAGACTGCTAATCAAGTATTTCTCTACCTCGGTATTCACCTCGTTCCTTTGCAGTTCACCTGGAAGAGTCTGTTGAGGGTTAGGCGGGGTGTTATGTGATCTGATCCCATGTTTAATATAGGATAATTTAATTCATGTGTGATTCTGGTATGCATTATATGTCCCAGTGGTTTCCAGTTGTTGAAGAAGTCCAGGCTGTATGCACTCATTCTGGCCTCCCTGTTTATGACTACATAAAGGGGTGGGAGGTTTGGAATGATTTCCATAAAGGCTGTCGGAAAGGGTATTGAGGTCTGTTTTCTGGTTAACTTTTATCCACCAAACAACCGCCCCATAAGTTATCATGGGTCTTTTTATTGTCAAATATAGCCAGTGGATCATTTTCGCTTTTAATCCCCATGTTTTTTCAAATGTCCGTCTCCATACATGAGAGACATTTTACATTTGTTGGTCACGTTTTGTAAGTGTTAGTTTCAAGAAAATTTGCTATTTAGGATTAAACCCAGATATTTTACTTGGATCGTCTTGTTTAGCTTTCCTCCAGAGTCGGAGTTTCTAAGATCTCCAACATTGTTTTCCGAGTAAAGGTTATGAGTTGTGCCTTGTCAGGGTTTACCAATGCACCACATTTCTGTCAGTGTTAGAGTTCTTTACGTGATTTTGAAGACTGTGGTTTGGTGTTTCCCTCGGATAAGGATGAATATGTCGTCGGCGTATCCTTGGTTGGTCAGTGTTTTCAACAGTTCATTTGCCACTAAGTTCCACATTAGAGGAGAAAAGATTCCACCCTGTGGGCATCTCCTGCGGATATTCACCTGCATGGTTTTACTGAACATTTGTGCCTGTACTTGCCGTCCGCGTAACATGACTCTATCCACACGCAGATGGGGTCTTCTATTTTATGTTTTCGAGTGGCAGCTACCATTGATTTGAAGGAGATATCAAAAGCTTCTATGTCTAGAAATTCTTCTAGGACTATTTCTTGGCTACTGATACCCCCTCTATCTTTGTTACAAGATGATGCAGAGCAGACTCACAAGATTTTCCTGATTGATAGGCATGTTAGTTTGTATGAAATGGCCTCTCTATCAGAGTATTTTTCTGGACATGCTGGTCAATCAGTTTTTCCAATCCTTTCAATAGAAATGACGTCAGAGTTATTGGTCTGTGGGCGTTTGCCACGGCATATGTTGGACGCCCTGGTTTAGGTATAAAAACCACTGCTTTGCTTTCAGGTATTTGGTACATGTTTATGCACCAAACTTGCCCTGTAGAGCTTACAAATATGCGGGGCTAGTGTTTTGATGATTTAAAGCAGAAGTAGAATTTGTGCATGAGTAGGTAATAGAGATCATGAATAATGGGAAAGATTCATTGTATATCTATATCTTTAATTTATTGTATGTTAATGTAATTATTTTAATGGGCATTAATTCGTAAATTACTAAATAAATAAATAAATAAAATGTATCTAATTGTAATACGATTTTAAAAGTCATACAAACATAATAGGTATATTTGCCAATTTGAAGATATTCTCCCAATAAATTAATAGGTTATCTAACATTTTAAGTCATTTATATTTTGCATAAGTAATTATAACATAGTCCTTGAGCATTTTCGCAGTGAGTCTGTAGTGATATTTCGATTACATTTATGATTCTTATCATTTAAAGCTATTGATTTTTGATGCAATCGACTCTAAGATACATTTATTTTAAATTGGTTTCTTACCATACGGCTGTGGCGACCAAAAGTTGAGGTGTGTTTTTCAATGGGGCTAAAATAGGTTCTGCGAGGAGTCCGTTGGCAACCATACCTCCGGCAAAAACCACTAACATGTATGACAACCAACATGCCAGAGGATGTTTACGTGAAAATGCTTGAGCTCCTAAAAAAATACAACTAAATAAATACTCGTAATTTTATTTTATTGTGTAAAGAGATTGTTCTGCCAAACGGAAACCTCAAATTTTAGATTATCATCCGAAATTGCTCCCTAAGGACGGATTGTACAAAAAAAAACGGTTAAGCTTTAACAGCGGTGGGTTAGTTAAATGTGTATTTGTACAACAGCTGGTTAGTTAACTAGCCTGGTTAAGATTTATTTTGCAAAGGGTGTTCCGCATACGTATCGACATAGGACAGGTGCGTGTTGGGCACCCCAAAATATGAATATTTAATGCAATTTACCTCTATACCAAGTTGTACCACTAAGGAGTTACGAAAGCTTAAAGTCGGGCCATAAATTTCAAAAAGATTTAATATCTCTGCAACCGTTTAACTTAACAAATCTATATTTGGCAAATTATTTAAGTGCTTCATGAGTCTTAATTTGGGGGTGAGTAAGAATTAATTGAAATATTTTAAGGGGTGGTTTTGAGGTAACTCACCCTTACATACATACATAACTTTTTTGTCCATTGGCCGATTTTTAAAATTTTCATTTCATTTTATGCAAAATTTGATTTTAAAACTTTTAACTATTTTATTTTTTAATAAACTTAATATTTTCGAGAAAAACGAGAAAAATTCAATCAATGCATTGTGATAATGTTAATAAATTTAACACCAAATTACTTTTAATAAAATCGATTTAAATGAGAACACAATTAAAACTAATATAATAATATCTACGTAATAAAAATAAATAATAGATTAAATAAATTAAAAAACACGCTTTAATAGAAAAGCAAACTAAAAAGTAGAAAATAATTTTCAATAAATTTAAATTAAGAATAGTGTGATTAACAAAAAAAAAATATTTTATTGTAGAAAAGCGTAGGGTGCTTTTTAAGATATTTCCATAATGACTCTACTTTCAATATCTGTCATTAAAACATAACAATTGGCATCAAGCGCCCCACGTTTTTCTGCAATAAAAGAATTTTTTTTGTTAATCACACTATTCTTAATTTAAATTTATTGAAAATTATTTTCTACTTTTTAATTTGCTTCTCTATTAAAGCGTGTTTTTTTAGTTTTTTTAAACTATGATTTATTTTCTACTATTCTACACTCTTTTTTATTCAATTTCATTTAAACAAATATACCTCCGTCCAGTGGCGTTGGAGGGGGGGGGGGAGGAGTTGGGGTGTCAGAACCCCCACCCATAAAGGTTCCTCGCGTCACTATTTCCGCTATAGTATTGGCGCTGATCACTATTGACTGTTTGTTTTTATTCACTTTCTTGATGGAACCCCCATACTTCTCAAAAATCCCTCCCATGAAAAATGGCTGGCTACGCCACTGCCTCCGTCCGTATATAATGTAATGTGAGCCATTTCATTATTTAGTCATGCTCTAATCCTCCAAGTCCTTCTCTGTCTTATTTGGCCTTTGAGGCTCAACTTGTCCAATTATCATACATAATTAAACCCCTTAAGATCAAACATATGTGACGACTATGGCGAAGGAGCATTCGATGACTATTCGAGAAAGAACGGTATCTATCTATCTGAATTAGGGCGTGGTTCAAAGCCGACTTGTACTGAAGTTCTAGGCTTATTGTACCCCTCACAGTTTCTATCCCATCAGATTGATTTTCTTGATGAATTCATGAATATGTCTGATGGGCGCTTTCGCGGTTTCTTCAGGTTCCGGATATTGTACCCCGAAGAACTATTCCCGTTTCCAATTAAGGTTCCGACAGTGGCATAGTATGTGAATAGGAGTTTTGTCCTCCTCTTCACATATTCTACATAGGGAGTCATCAGATATCCCTAAGAGATTTAGGTGTCTTCAGTTGATGTTGTCTTCTCGTAGATGGCCCCTCTATGAATCTTTTGGACTGTCTAAGTCCAGGAAGTTCCATCCAGAGCCTATGGTGTTCTCTTTTTATTTGTTCCTTTAACACCCATTTAACATGTTGGTATGAGATACCACACGTGGGTTCTGGTCCAATAAGAGTTTTTTCCGCTCCCTTCCTTGCTAGGAGGTCTGCTTTCTCGTTTCCAAACACTCCCTCATGTTCTGGCACCCATTCAAGGGTGACCTTGTTATGTTCTGCTAGGGCCTGGAGGGACTGCTAGCAATCAAATATTGATTTAGATTGTACTTCTACCCTTTTCAGTGCTTTAAGGGCTGCCTGACTGTCTGTCATGATTACGATCCTCTTATCTCTAAGAGAGTCATTTAGCATGACTTTGGCGCAGGCATTTATTGCTGTTACTTCAGCCTGAAAGACTGTTGTTAGTGACCCCAGGTTCAAACAAATTGTACTCCCTGAGTTCACATGGTAGATCCCAGCTCCTGTGCTGTTTTTCATTTTCGAACCGTTTATATACCAGATTGATTCGTTTTGTTCTTCCCTATTTTCCCGGCTTTTTTCCCTTTCTGGTATTTGAATGTCAAAAGGTTTCTTGAAGTCGTGAATAATGGGCGTTCTATCCCTTGTTACTTCCATACAACTGGAAATTGTAAAAGAGGGTTCAGTTGCAGATACAACCGTTCCATTTTAGTTTCGTAAGAGTTTCAGGAGGAACTATCTCTTAAGGAGGGGGCAATATAATGTGAGCCATTTCATTATTCAGTCATGCTCAAATCCTCCAAGTCCCTCTCTGTCTTATTTGGCCTTTGAGGCTCAACTTGTCCGATTATCATACATAATTAAACCCCTTAAGACCAAACATATGTGACGACTATTGCGGAGGAGTTTTCGATGACTATTCGAGAAAGAACGGGATAATATTTCTAGTGTATTGGTGAGAATAGGTGCCAAACTTTTAAATTTGTATATAAATATTGGTGGACCAAGCGGGATTTAATTAGTAGATAGACAATGGTGAATATAAATAGTGAACGATTCAAAGACATTCGAAATATATATAAATTAAAATAGTAGTGTTATAAAATAAATAACTGTTTAAACAAATTATTAATAAATAAACTGTTGTTTAAAATAAACAAACATCACAATATATTCATCCATATATTCAGTTTTGTTTGAATTGAATTGAAGAATTCGTGCTTAACTTTCGCTGAAATCCACCTTAGCATTAGACGATTTCGCCGATATCCCCATTTTATACAACCTCTGTGATATCGACGGAATCGTTTAATAATATTTCTAAAAAAGTTACCACAGCGATAACTGACTAACTTCATCTAAAGCGAACTTGAACTGGTTTTTTATTGGTACGAATCATAATAATGAGTACATAGAAGAAAAGAGGATCAAAAAAGATGGTAGAAAATGCACCCCCTCCCCTCAACCCCTAACATTGAATAAAATTTCATAAAAAATTAGCAGAGGAATAACATACGGTATCGGATTTGGAAAGTCGCTAATCCTGAAGGTCCTGGTCACTATAATGGGACAAACTATTTAAATTATTGCATTGTCATCGGTCCTTGATAAGTTTCAAATCAATCCGACGTTTTGAAGGGGGTGAAAAGCACGTTCGAAGATTCCGTTACATAGATACATACATTCCAAGCTAATAAAAGCGTGTTAATTAAGTATACTTGGCCTCACTTTAGGCTTCCGTAACTCCTTAGGGGTACAAATTGGTATAGAGGTAAATTGCGTTAAATCATCATATTTTAGGGTGCCTAATTCGCACCTGTTCTATGTCGGTACTTATGCGGAACAGACAATCTGTAAAATGATTTGGAGACAACCCGCCCTTAAGAGATAGATGCTATTAAAAACTGTATTTTACTGAGGCCCTTCCTATGGGGCCTCAGTATTGCATTCGTGCAGGCGAAAAAAATTTCTTATCCCCATTTTTTTCATGTTTCCGATCATTCTAAGACCGAAATGTAACAAAAATTTATTCGTCTGGTCATCTGTGTGTATGTATACCGGCACGATAACTCTAGAACGATAGTTCTGATTGACTTGCGATTTTGATTTCCTTGAATAATTACTTCTAACTTAGAACCCTATTGATTTTCAGAACTTTCGGTTTATCCTAATTACTTTAATATCAATTTTCTTAAAATCCGCCTATGCATTTCTTATGTGACTAATTTTACGAATTCCAATCATTCCTAACGCCTACATTGCTAACATTCTTAACATTCCATACATTGCAAACATTCTCCAATGACCTGTCAAACAACAGCTGTTAATTATAAAGGTGAGATTTCTAAGGCGGGTTGCGACCTTCATACTTGCAACCATAGCCATTTTGGAGACTATTTTTATTCGCCTGCCAATTTATAAAAAATATATAAGCAGTTTCTTAAAAATTACCTTTTTATGGTGGTGCTAACTTAAGCTTACTACTATTTCGTCCCTAGCCACAAAAACACCTTCATCAAATTTACTGGTTCTCTGTTGCAACCCCATAGAATAATTAACCTGCCATTTTATTTGGCAAAAATCAAAATAATGCTTGGCTGTGCCTCTCAAGTATCAAGATGTCAACTGTGATGTGTGAATGGCTCTTAAATGTCAAATTATTTAAAAATGTATGTGTGCTTTTTTTGATATTTATTGCAAATAATTTGTAGTGTATCTCAATTCAGGCTTTCCATAAATAAAGGTAAAGCAAGACAGCAAGAAAGCACTTTTTTATTATATAAAAGAGAGGTAGGATATAATGCTGGTTTTTTGTAGATAATTTTAATTATACGATTTTGAATTACATTAAGAGGTTGAAGTGCAATATCATATAGTCCACATTATACAATATCGCAAAATAGATTCAACCAGCGAATTGCAAATAATAATTAGTAAACTCCTAGTCATACATTTTTGCAAACCTTTAATAAAAATTGTATTTTGGGAACTTTTAGTGATGGCTTGCCGTACATGAAAGTCAGATTGGCTTCTTGTAGTATAGTTGTGATATTTCGAATTATATTTTTTTCTAATAGATCTGATGCGATGGTACTATATCATTTTTATTTTATAAATAAATATCAGTCATATACTGAACATAA